GATTATTAACGATTATTATTGGAGGTCTTTACACGGTGCGTATTTATTAATGAGAATATTTTTTGAGGTTCTTACACTTTGAGTATTTATCAAAGACTATTTTTTGAGGTCCTTACATGGTGTGTATTTATTAATGAGAATATTTTTTGAGGTCCTTACACGCTGTGTATTTATTAAAGAACATTTTTGAGGTACTGATAATAACATCTCTCAAATAATTCACAAGGTACAATAGTGCATAGAAGTGTTGTCAATATTTATACGCCCCATGTCCAGAATATATTTCCTTATTTTGTGGCATGATAATTTTTTTGAGGTACTGATAGATCGTCAAAATATTTTTTGACCTACTAATAAGACGTGGATTTATTAGAAATATATTTTTTTTATTTTGAGTTACTGACCATAACATTTGGATTATTTCAAATAATTCCCTAGGTACAACAGTGCGTATAAGTGTTGTCAACATTCATACGTCCCATTGACGAGAATAGTTTTCGTTATTTGAACTTTGCCTTGCAATGAAAAGGAAAGCCTGAAGAGAAGAACCTACGTACCCACCATTATGCGACGCGTTTCACCGTTGGTTAAGCGGCTCATCAGGTATATTGGGCTATGTGGCTTTACAAAGGTCGTATGTTGATAACTTGTATTTATTTCACACTGATGGGAACTTGCATATGCGAATTTAATTCAAATTTGTCAAGGTTCGACACTTGTCTTCATTTTAGAAACAGTAATTAGCCTTGTTTTCCTGGCTTTCTTTTCAAAAAAAATCTATTAAAAAGCCTAAAAATTTTCGTTCCACCCTATGCCATGAACTTGAAATCAAAACGTATCCTTAATTTAATTTGCATTTATTTGTTTATTTTTTCCCCGTATTTTCTTATTCTTCTTCTATCAATTTTGGTATTCAAGGTCCTGCCTCCTTCACTTTGTCGAAATGTGAAACGTTGCCTTTTATTGTTGCATTGAAGAGATTGCAAATACATGTACACAATACTCAAACGCACACACACACCCACTCACAAAGAATGATAGTAAATCAGGAAGGACATACACCCATTTTATGCAAAAGAGACATTATGCGTTTGTGTGGTGTGTGTGAGTGTTTGTGTATGGTGTTCGTTTGCTCAATCGTCAATGGTAATTTGCCTTATTCAATTCTATCATTTTATAGTTTCACCTTCATTTGCAACCATTTCTTTTCGTTTTTTTGTATTCCTCCATTACATCTCTTATTATGTGTAAAGAAAAAAGGAAGAAAAAACCTCAACATCCGGATAACAACAACAAAAAAACTTGGGGTCGCTAGATAAATATCGCAAAGGTGGCAAGTCGGCAAATTTGACGAGGTTGATGATGATGCAAATTGTCCTCCTCCCTCTGCTCTTTTCATAAAGGAAATGGCCAAGATGATTAACTGTATGTTTCAAGGTGAAGGTTGTACAAAATATACAGGCCGACTTACACACGCACACACACACACAGGGACATACCCTCAATCGGTGATTCTCGCATTTAAACGTCAAATGCAACAAAAAAAAAAAAAAAAAAAAAAACAAAGAAATTTTTCTCATTGCCAGTAAGGATTCAATATCAAGGCCAATGTTCTCTCTCCTACTCTCACTATTCATCACATTAGTAATAACTAGGCCTCTGAGAGTGACAAAACAAAAACAGTAATGTTTACATTTGTAGCACATTACTCACTTTCTCTCTCACTCTCTCTGTGTGGAAAGTTCAAACAGTAAAGAATGCGTGAGAGCGGAATAACGTTTCTATGAATTTTGTGAATGACATCCTGTTTATTCGTGTTTTTTTGTTTTGTTCTGCACCACAACAACACCAGCAAAAAATGTGCGATTTCTGTAGTAAAACCGCACATTGTTGCAGCATACAGGTGTTTTTTTTTTTATTTTGTTTGTTTATGCATTGCATTCTATTTAAAGCCGTCTATATAAGTGGGATTGAGTGTGAATGTGTGTGCATTTATATATACTAATGCAGTTTTGGCGGTTAAACTTAAAACACTAACCTACAGAGGCCATCAGGGAGGCGAAAGAACCTTCAAAATATTTTTTTCTGTATTTTCAATGCAAATTTATTTAAATCGAAATAATCGAAATAATTTGAGGGGGTGGTAAATTTCTTTAAATTTTGGGAAAAACGGATAATTTGTTTCCGTATAGAACATGTTGCGGATAAAGGGTGTATATAGAAAATGTTGCGAATTAATCATTTTCGAATCACATACTTATTTATTCACATATAAAAGATGTTCGGGATTACATATGATGCTTCGAATGCTTCGATATTGATTGACAAAATGTTCCGTATAAAATATTTTCGAACAGAAAATGTTGCGGATATGTTATGGATATTTGGTAGAGAACATCATTCCAAACATTAGCAATATGTTGCGGGTATTTTTTTATAGAAAACGTTGCGGATAAAATATTTTCGAAAAAAAATAAAAAAGCTCCTATGAAAAAATTTAATCGTACTTAAAATGTTGTTGATAAAATATTTGTGTAGAGAATAATAATTCCTCTAAAGGCTTTCAAGTGACTATATACGACCTATGAAGCCCGCTGTTAAATATATACAAATCCCGAAGGATATTTATTCACCATAGAAAACCATATTGATCATTGAAAATGAGACCTCACAAAATCAGACACATCTGAAGGTTTTCCATTAAAAATGCGAATGTTTTCATTGGATCATAGAAGACCCAAAAATAGGTCTTAAATTAATATCTAAGAAGACCTCCGGTGGCTTTTCATTGACCATATAAGACTTTTGGTGACCATCGAATTCCCACAGCAGACTTCTAGTAATAATAAAATAGAACGCAAGATATACTATTAAAAAGTCCTTTGGCCATTGAAGACCTTTGGCAGCCATCGAGCTCCCCAGATTTCTGAGGACTTCTCTTAATCATAGAAGTCCTCCGAAGAACTTCTAATGATCAAAGAATTTCTCTGAAGGTATTCTATTGGCCTAAGAAAACCTGTGAAAGCCTTCTATTGTCGATAGAGACCTTCGAATGTTTTATTTTGGTTGTAGTGTGCCTTCTAGGTATTCTCTAAGTTATAAGCATCTGAAGAACCTTTGGAAGTTTTTCATTGGCCATAGAAGAGCTCTTTCGTTCTTCTGTTTTCCATAGAAGAACTCTGAAAAAACTAAAGGTACTCTGGAGGCTTTCTGGTGCGCAAATAAGACATCGGAAGACTTATATTAATATTAGAAGTATTCCGACGACCTTCTATTGACCAAAGGAGATCTCTGAAGGTATTATATTGGCCGTAGAAATCATCTGAAGGCGTTTTATTGTCTATTGAGACCTCTGAATGTTTTCTATTGGTCGAAGATATACTTCTAGGTATTCTCAAGATTATTAACTTATCCAAGAGACATCTAAAGATACTCTGGGGATTTTCATTGATCAAAGAAGACCTCCGAAGACCCTCTGTTGTCATTAGAAGACCTCTGAAAACTCCTAGTAATAAAAGAAGAGCTTCGATGACCCTCTATTGATCAAAGGAGATCTCTAAATGTATTCTATTGGCCGTAGAAAGCCAGTGAATATCTTCTATTATCTATAGAGACGTTCTAATGTTTTATATTTGTCGAAGGAGTGTTTCTAGATTTTCTCTAGATCAGAAGCTACTCTTATATTGACTCTGAACGTTGTCTATTTATCATAGAAGGGTTTCTTTGTGATCTGTAGGTCTTAAGATATTCTAGCAAATCTCTGAAGCTCTTCTATTGACCATCTGAATGTTTTCTTTCAACCTAATGGTATTTTAAGTCATATATTATGCTCCTTGTTCGACATCCTACTAACTTAAAATCACGGACGACCTCAGAAGGACTTCGAATGCTCCTAGAAGACTTCTGAAGTCTTATATAGGCAATGTAAGAACCAAGAAGGCTTTCTTCTGATGGGAGAAGTCCTGTTAAGGCTCTCTATTAACCATGAATGGCCTCTGATGGTTTCTGGTGACCACAAAAGATATCTGAATACCTTCTTTTGGACACAGAAGATATTCTAGGCATTTTATTTGAATAAAAGTTTGCTATTAGAGCTAGAAGACGTCTGAATGCCTTATATTGATAAAATTAGGTCTCTGAAGGTTCTTTATTAATCAACGAAGACCTCCAACTTCATTTGTCATAAGATCCCATAATACCTCTAAAGTCCTCGATTGTCCTAGAGGACTTGTAGAAGCCCTCTTTCGGCTGTAGAAGACCTTCGACTGTCCTAGAAGACTTTTAGAAGTCTGATTTATATGGACATTGTAAGAGCTCTAAAGACCTTTTACTGGTAGGAAATGCTTACATAGGCTTTTTATTAACCACGCAAGAACTCCGGTGGCTTCTGGTGACCACAGAAGACCTCTCCATGCCTTCAATTGGCTATATATGGTATTCTAGGCAATTTATTTGTCTAAAATATCCGTGAAGGACGTATGTTAGAAAAATTAGATCTCTGAAAATTCTCTATTAATCAAAGAAGACCTCTAATACACCCTCAATTCAAAGTATACATTATTGTAGATCTTACTGATCCCAAACGACTTTTGTAGGCCTTCCATTGACCATGGTGACCTCTTAAGACCTTCCATAGACTAAAGAGGGTCTCCGAAATTCTTCAGTTAGATTCTATACGGAGGCATCCTCAGTAAGATGCTTCTGGAGGTATTATCATATTTTTGTTGTTGTATTCTTAAATTAAAATTCTCTTCTTGGTCTTTTTTTACAGATCCAATATGGCTGTGGCGACACATAAAACTGCAACAACAACAATGCCCATAACCAGCACCACCACAATTACAACAATAAACACAAATAACAACAACAACCAAAACCACAACAACAACAACAACATTATTATCAATTGCAGCGGTTGCCATTTACCATTTAACTTTAATAATTCCGTGCCAAAATCATTGCCATGCAAACATTGGTTCTGTCTATCCTGTCTGGAGGATATGATCGGTAAATCGGATGATTTTGCCCATTTCGATTGTGCCAACTGCCAGCAGACCATTGATATTGATGGCCTAAATAAGACTTTGGAAATATTGCCAAATAGCGCTGCCGCCACACACAACAACATCAGCAACAACAATGCCGAAATCGAAACCCAATTGTCGACACGTTCGGCATCGATAACCTCCGATAATTCAATAGGTTGTAGTTTATTTTACAACAATAGCAACAACAGCAACAATAACAGTATTTGTAGTAATGGTAGTAATCACAACAACAACAATTCCAACAATACTTTTAATCCGAATAATGGCCACTTGCATAATTTTCAAAACCAGCATCGAGGTGGAGGAGGAGGGTCTGGAGATAATGCTTTGGGACCCATGTTGCCGGGTGAGAACTGCATTCTCCATGGCATGCCGAATATTTTGTGGTGTGCCAGCTGCAATGCCAGCCTTTGCCGTGGCTGTAACTCGGGCCCCGACCACCAGGACCATATGATACAAAATCTCCAAGAGGCCAAGGAGGCATATCAAAATCGCATCCAACAGGATATTGCCAAGCTACAAGGGTCTCTCGGTGACATGGAACAATTGCAGAGAATCCAAAGGGAGTTCCTGCTGGGTCTGCTGGAATCCTGTTGCACCCTGAAAAGTCACCTGGAACAGGAGATCAATAATCCATGCCACAGCCAGGCGATGGAGGGAATGCGCGAAACATTGAAAATGTTACAAATCCATATGGACATAATGTCCGATTGTAGTCCTCGGGACTATGTCAAGCTAAGCAATGCCGTGGCGGAGGAGAAACAGAAATTCTATGTGAAACACAAGGAAATGTTGAGGCAATATCAGATCAGCGAACTGATCAGCAGCAATGAGAGGCTGTTGGATTTCCCCACCATGCAACAGATTTTGCAGAAACAGGATTTGCGATCGGCGTCGGGGGGAGATAATAACGGGCAAATGCCCAGTAATCCGATGCTGCACCTGACCAACTATTGTGTATTCCATTTGTATTTGCGTTACTCCAAACAAAAACAACAATTTTTCGAAAATCAACTGTGGAGATATCAACAGTATCAGCAGCAGATAATAGCGAATTTCAAGACCCAACAAAATCAAAAATCCTCCACATCATCGGGGACGTCGCAATCATCATTGTCCTCCTCGTCGGGGTCATCGGCAGTGGGTTGTTATCAACCTCATCAACAACAACAAAATGGCATTACATCCAATAACTATCATCAGGGAGGCAGCTCTACGACCAGTTCCGCCGCCTATGATACCCTACAAATCAAACGTAAAACCTATGCGGAAATTGCCAATAGCAATTGTAGTTCCAGCAAATCCTTTGATTGCCATAGCTCTCAAGATTCATTTGATCTCTTCAATGGCCCCTTGACGGTTTCCCAATACAAACAACTCGAAGAGGTCGGGAAATGCATAGATCTGCTTCTACTCAATCCGATCAGTAATGACAATAATCACATTTATTATTTCGATTTTGAACGGAATGGTGAATTTCTCGGACGGGTCCTTATCAAAGTCTATGCAAGTTATGCCCCCAAAATGGCGTACAATTTCCATGCCCTATGTACCCATGAAAAGGGTGTGGGCTATAGGGGTTGTAAAGTTTTCAAATGTTATCCGAATCAAAGCATTATCACAGGGGATATTGATCAAAATAATGGTTATGGTAGTCGTTCGATATACGATGAACCACAATTTGTAC